TCTTTGCCTATTCTAATGCCTTCAATTTCTTTTTCTTCTCTTATTGCTAAAGCTAAGGTTTCCAGTACAATATTGAATAACAGTGGTGATAATGGACATCCTTGTTTCACCCCGATCTTATTGGAAATGCTTCTAGCCTGTCCCCATTACATATAATGCTTGCTGAAGGTTTTAGATATGCTATTTATTATTTTAAGGAAGACTCCATTTATACCTATGCTTTCTAGTGTTTTTAATAGGAATGGGTGTTGTATTTTATCAAAAGCTTTTTCTGCATTTATTGAGATGATCATGTGGTTTCTGTTGGTTTTGTTGTTGATATGCTCAATGATGCTGATAGTTTTCCTAATATTGAACCAACCCTGCATTCCTGGTATAAATCCTACCTGGTCATAGTGTATTATTCTTGTGATAAGTTGCTGCAATCTACTTGCTAATATTTTGTTTAAAATTTTTGCATCTATATTCATTAGAGAAATTGGTCTATAATTTTCTTTCTCTATTTTGACTCTTCCTGGTTTAGGTATCAACACCATATTTGTATCATAAAAAGAATTTGGTAAGACTCCTTCTTCACCTATTTTCCCAAATAGTCTATATAGTATTGGAATTAATTGTTCTTTAAATGTTTGATAGAATTTGCATGTAAATCCATCTGGCCCTGGAGATTTTTTCCTAGGGAGTTCATCAATGGCTTGTTCAATTTCTTTTTCTGAGATGGGGTTATTTAAGTATTTTACTTCCTCTTCTGTTAATCTGGGCAATTTATATTTTTGTAAATATGTATCCATTTCACTAAGATTGTCAAATTTGTTGGCATATAGTTGGGCAAAATAATTCCTAATTATTGTTTTAATTTCCTCTTCCTTGGTGGTAGCTTCACCCTTTTCATTCTTGATACTAGTAATTTGGTTTTCTTCTTTTTTTTTAATTAAATTAACCAAAGGCTTATCTATTTTATTGTTTTTTTCATAAAACCAGCTCTTAGTTTTATTTATTAGTTCAATAGTTTTCTTAATTTCAATTTTCTTAATTTTTCCTTTGGTTTTCAATATTTCTAATTTGGTGTTTAGTTGAGGATTTTTAATTTGTTCTTTTTCTAGTTTTTTTAGTTGTATGCCCAATTCATTAATCTCCTCTTTTTCTATTTTATTTATGTAAGCATTTAGAGATATAAAACTTCCCCTAAGAACTGCTTTCGCTGCATCCCATAGGTTTTGGTATGTTGTCTCATTATTGTCATTCTCTTGAATGAAATTATTGATTGTTTCTATGATTTGTTGTTTGACCCAATCATTTTTTAGGATTAGATTATTTAGTTTCCAATTATTTTTTAGTCTATCTTTCCATGGCCCTTTATTACATATAATTTTTATTGCATCATGATCTGAAAAGGATGCATTTAATATTTCTGCCTTTCTGCATTGGATTGTGAGGTTTTTATGCCCTAGTACATGGTCAGTTTTTGTGTATGTGCCATGTACTGCCGAGAAAAAAGTATCTCCTGCTCTTTCTTACTAAACTGAAACACACACATACACACACACTGCTCTCCACTTCATCATTACTTATCTTCTCCTCAACCCTCTAAAATCTGGTTACTTATCTCTGATTGTTAGGAGGATTTTCTTACATTGAACCTAAATCTCTCTCTCTTCATCTTCCATCCTTTGCTCTTAGAATTAAGGCCTGGCAGAGCAAGCTTCATATTTCTTCTGTGTGATAACCCACAGTTTTCATACTTTCCTTACTCTTGTGTCCCAAGTTGACTCTTCTCCAGATTTAATATTCTTGCTTCCTTCAATGAATCCTTGTATGCGTGGTTTTCAGTGCTGTTTGCCCTCTTTCATTTCAATGTCCTTCCTAAACTGGAGCACCCCCCCCAACCAAATCCAATACAGTTGATATGTGCCGTTCAGGGATGGGGGGCATGGCGCAATATAACACGATCATTGTATTTCATGTAAATCTTTAGTACCTTCCTATGGCCTCCCAAGTCTGGTTGAGACTCCTTTGTCTGATATTCACAATCATCCTACCTTTCCCATCGTTTTCCCATATTACCAACCTCTATACAGTAGCTAAAAAAGTTGAATTTTTGTTCTTTGACCTCCCTGTGCATGCTTTCTTGAATTACCTTTATTCAGACTATTCCCTCGGCCCATCCGCCAACCCCCGCGCCTGCCTTCATTTGTTGAATTCTTAGCCATTCTCCAAAATGGAGCACAGAACACAAATGGCACCTCCTGTAGCAAGTCTTCCCTTATTCCCTTCCTCCTCAGATGTCATATAACATTTGTTTTTCACTTTTAATGCAGTGATACTGTAGTGTTGTGCTGTCTCAGTAAGGAAAGGGACAGTGTGGTAGCTAAACTTGGAATCTCATAGTGTCCAACAGGGCTCTGTATGTTGCAGGCTCTTAACAAATGTTTGTTGAGTGAATGAATGCAGTTATGGAACTTATGTCCCAGTAGGACTGAAGATGGACATAAACGATCATCACATTGTAGAGAGGCTGGAGAGAATTGGAAGGTACCACAGAAGTAAGTCGTGAAAGACAACCCCTGATTTAGCCCGTGAGCTGACATTGGAAGAGGTTATTTGAGTCACGTGGGCAGTAAGTAGCAAAGCCAGGACTCAAACTCAAGTCCCCCACTCCAAACGCAGCACTCTTTCCCTTTCAAATATAGTTATAGAATTTACATCTGATGCATCAAAAGTCTTTCCTTGGGCCAGAGAAGACTTATGGGCTGTCAGGAATTTTGCCTACTGCATTATCCTGATGTCTAAAAGCTAGGAAATATTTTTAATTTCATTCTGTTTAGTCAATGCAAAGTATCTGTAAATGTGTTTTGACCCATCTCCTGTCATAGTGTGGGTTCTGCAAAGCTTAACTTCTGATACAGGGTAATGGTAAATTCCTTTACCAAATATTTTAATGTTTTTAGCAGTAAATTTAAAAAGGAACAAGCAGTGCTAGGCACTTACGGTCTGCTTAATGAATGCTTGTTTGCCGGCTTAACTCTTAGAATCCCAAACCTTGGAATTGGAAGGATGCTGTCCATCCTCCTAACCAACGCTAGACGTTATGTTGCTTGAGCTTGTGAAGGTACTTCAAATATTTCTCACGGTACGCTGGTGGGCAAGATGAAGAAATGGAGTATTTAATGTCTATTTTTAAAACTGTGACAGTGATGAAATCATGGGGAGTCCAAATCACTTTAGTGAAATTATGTCAAATGCCTACTATGCACAGGGCACTATGTTTCTTTACAAATCAGCCCATTTAGTAAGTTCTTTAACTTTTCTTTCAGCAGAAACCTTCGGCACTTCTCCTTGGTTCGCTTTGCACTCCGTCTCCCTATCTCCCGCTGTGACCTCTGTGACCTAAGCAGACTCTGCCGGGCAGCAGAGAGGCACCTTCCTTTCTTCCTTGCCCTGTCTGACGATCATATTTGGCAGGCTCCATCCTCCTTTTAAACAAACTTCCCTTCATTCAGAGACCCAGCTTTTGCTTATAATGGGACAATGTTCCTTATTCTATTGCAAAGTCTTTTTGTGTTTTTTTTTTAATGTTCCCAGGCCTTTAGTTAACATGATTTCCATCTTTTTAACAATTTCTCCTAGATCCAAACCAGAAAGTGAAGTATGTAGGTTTCCATGCAGTTGTTACCATTCCCTCACCCCAGAGCAACTGAATAGAAGAACTGCTTAAATGATAATGTCTGAACAGATGAGGAATGTGTGGAATGGCGTTCTGATAGAAATACGCTTGCGAGTATTATTGTAGAAGGGTCAGGGAAGAGAGGCACCTTGGGTTTTAATAGAGTTAATTCGCTCTACAGCCCCAGAACCTGTCTGACCTTGTCCCTCAAAAAGAGTTGCCTGCGTTGTCATTTTGAGAAGCTTCCTAGGCAACAGAGTGTTTTCCTGCAGTTATTCTTCATACCCTTTCCCTAGTTGCTTTTTCTTGCACAAGGTTGACATGTTCTGGACCTGAGAAGGCCTGTGGGAAAACAAAAATGTAAAAACTAAGCATGAGAGGGCTGTGTTCTGGGGTAGAAAGTGCTCTGAATGTAGCAACATGTTTAAAAATGTTTGCGCAATTAGGTCCATTGTTTTCAAGCCTCAATAAGTGAGGCCCCTTCCAGCTCTAAAATTCTCTGTCTCTAGAATTCTGCAAATATAGTTAAATGCCTGAGGACTCTCTAATTCTGCTTTGTAAAGGGGCATAGAACAATATACTCTTTTGTGGTTTAAAGTGAGCGAGTCATAGAGCTGGTTCTTTATCTTGCCAGTGAAAGTGTGTGTCTACCTAAGTATATATTTGTATCTGGGTAGTCAGGTAGGTGCAGAGAATTATAGCTAAATACTTTACTTCTTGCTATTTTTTTTCTTGAGTTACTTCATAACAGCAATCTATTTTAGTAGAGATTTTCACTGTTGATTTTTGTATTAAAAAAAAAGCAAAACACTGCTTTCAACAATGGTAGCTTTAAAAAAAAAAAAGGCCACCGGAGAGGCAGTGACCCATTAAACATAAATATATCCTACCTTTGTGTTCACACAGACATGAATTGTACCAGAAAGGGAAAAATAGAAACCAGAATTTTAATAATTCTGCCATTCATATGGGGACTAAGGGATTGCTGGATTCAGTAGAAAAATGACTGATGCAAGAGGACAGACTTGATTTACTTGGATGAGGAAATGCTGAAATGGATGGCTGCAGTGGTGGCTTTTGAAATCTGGTCATAAATCAGCAGTCAATCAGAAAGCAAGGACGACCTTTAATCGGCTCTGTTTCTGTTTGCTTATTAGCTAAACTCTGCTCCTCTTTATCTGAGGAGATGTTTTCACAAAAATTGATCCTTTCTGTCTTGTACCCAGGAGACTTCTCTCTTCAGAGAACAGGGTTCATTTTGTTCAGTAGCCTAGGAAGGTGAACATTTGAATGGAAATACTGTTAAATTAATTCTTTTAAAATACTCTGTTTCCAGGGAGCCCTGTGCCAGTCAGAATGCCAGTCATGATAGAAGACATTATGAAACTGCTCTGCACTATTTCGGAGGAGAGGAAAATGAAGGCTGCCTTCAAGCATTCAGGGAAGGGGGCACTGGTGGCAGGCGCTGTGGCTTTTGTTGGGGGTTTGGTGGGTGGCCCCCCAGGAATAGCTGTTGGTAAGTCCCTTTCTGTGATGTAGCCACTGAAACTAGAGAAAGATTCAGTGGTATTATCCACATGTATATCTTTAGTGCCACATGATAATTCAGTCAGGGTTCTCTTCTTTAAAAATAGCATTGTGCATGTAATTCAACAAATATTTATCAAATACCTCACATATATGCACACAACACACACACACACACACACACACACACACACACACACCACACATACACACACACACACACACTCTATACCAGGGGGAGATACCAAGCTTACACTTAGTTGGGGCTGCAGAAACACCCAACACACACAAAAATAGTATTCTAAAATAGACCATAGTAAGTATATAAATGATGTACAGAATGTGGTTAGGGTTCAGAGAAAGGAAGGATGATTTTTCACTGGGGGAATCTGGCAAAGATTTATCCAGGGAAGTAGTGGTTGATCTGGGTCATGAAGGATTATAGGATTTCAACAAATGGGGATGGAGAAATGAACCATTTTAGGCTTTCTGCAAGAATGAACATATTAGCACTAAAGGTGGCATTAAAAAGTTAAAATTTTTATTCTTTACATAATGAAGAGACAATTCCTCTCGCTATTAAGAAACCAAAGCAAGAAATTCAGAGAAAATGCCCATGTTGCACCACTGTTCTTCCCTACCTTGAGGAGTTTTGGGGCTTTGCCATTCACCTTGATATGCATCACTCTGAGGACCACTTAGTTTGATTTTCTCTCAAGCTGAACTTTCCTCTATATGTTGTCTCCCCCATTAGATTGTGACCTCCTTGAGAGCAAGAACTGTCATGGTTCATTTCTTTGTTTTCCCAGTGCTTAGCATATAGTAAAAGCTTAATAAATGTTTTTTCATTCATTCATTCATTCTTTTTTTTTTTTGGTGAGGCAATTGGGGTTAAGTGACTTGCCCAGAGTCACACAGCTAGTAAGTGTTATGTGTCTGAGGCCAAATTTGAGCTCAGGTCCTCCTGACTCTAGGGCTGGTGCTCTATCCACTGCACTACCTAGCCACCCCCATTCATTCATTCTTGACCCTTGTTTGTACACAAGAGTACTAGCTTCATGTTCTTATCACTAACCACTTTAAGAGATAGAGATGCTTCTTATGGGACAGTATTTCCACTCACGCTGGACCCAAAGAACCCTCTGGTCTTGATGAGACATCATATAATTAAAAACAATAATGGAAAGAAAAAAACCTATCGCAAGGATGGTATCTCTGTCATCTTGTTTTACCATCTATTTCCATTTTAGGACTGTGGTAAAAATGGATGGGGCGGGGGGTGGTTGGGTGTGTTTTGTTTCAAACAAACAGACACACAATTTCTAGGCAATGAATAAATATTTTGGCTGATTCCCCAAGAGTACAGTGCAGCTGGATCTGATAATTACCTTGTCAAAAGATCATCATTGCTTTGAGGCACAGAACTGAGTTTATCCCTTAGGCTTGAGAGCAGAAGAAACTCCAGTGCACCCTAGCATTGGAAGATCGGACCGTCTGACTCACAGTTGGAGTCTCAGCCACAGGCTCTGAGGAAATCAGAAAATCAGCCAAGTTGTCATTCACATGTGGTTTTACAAGGCCGACTCAGTGACTGGGCCAGATAGGGCTTCCCTAGAGGTGCCATTCAGATGAAGTGTTCTCCAATCTATTTTAATTGGTATTATCATGATGATTTAGTGTGCTTTATTAACTCTCATCTTCCTAACATCACTGAGTTCTATTGTAGTATTCTGTTTGTACAGGTGGAGAAACTAAGGCACAGAGAGTTGAATTAGGCTATCCAGGAAGTCCAAAGCCCAGGTGGGATTGCAATCACGTTGTGATGAGAGACAATGATTTCTTTATTCAGTAGTGTGAACAATTAGTCCACACATTTTCGTCTTTATTTTTCCACTTCCAAATTGTGTATGAACCAATAAGTTCTGACATATGCTTCATGCTCACCAAAAAGTGACTCTAGAAAGAAGTTAGTTACCTTTCCTCATTCTTTGCCAGATAACATATCATAACCTCTAGTCTCCCAACCTTTTTGAGTGTTTCAGAATTGACCAAAATGAAGGGAAGAAGGTGTACAATCTTATTTTATACAATTTGCATGAAAACTCATAGAGAATGGGATGTCTCAAAACCAAATCCAAGGGGTTAGCTACTACTGTCTTTTCATGGGTGGGTAGATAATTCTAGTTAGAAAATAAAAGGAATTTTTTCTTCTTCAGAGAGGTAGTAACTTAGTTGGTGGATATTCCTTGTGACTTTTTGCACTAAGTGCTGCTCTAAATCAAATATTGATGTTCTCATAAACGTTTAGCATAGATGAGTGCAAATCTTGTCAGTTTTAAGCATTTCACTATCATCCTGGGGAAAAGTTCAGTAAAACTTGTAAATTAGCCATTCTTACCCTTTGGAATGCTTTGTCGTGCTGGGAAAGAGATGAGCATTGTATGCTTGTTATTGTGGCAGTGTTTGGCCTTCAGACATAGGGGCAGGTGTTTTTTCCTCTTAACAGTGAGGAGGGCAGAGAGAATGGCTCCTGTAACCTCGCTCATGCATGACTTTCTATAGGAGAGCTGAGTCAATGGTGGAATGCTGATGGGGGAGTCTCGGGAGGCAGGCAGTGGGAGGGCTGATCTACAGAGCCCACCCTTACATTGTACCATCCTTTAGACTTGGTACATAGGCAAACCTAGTTGGGTGGCACCTACCAGTGATCCAAAAAGTCATTTGCATCTCAGATTTCTCATTTTTGAAATGGCACATGTTTGCCTGTTAATTTTGACCTTTAAGCTAATTAAAAAAGAAAGTAGGTTATCCCTTTTCCCTATCTCCAGACTGTTGGAGGCAGAAGAAGAAACAGTTGATTAAATTAACTTATTGTCTTGTTTCCATGTACCTTTGGGATGTTGTGAACAGCCTTAGAAAAACTTTATTTCAAGAGCAAAGACTCTGTATCCCAAAGAGATCGTAAGGGAAAAAAGACCTAAAGAAATCAAAAAGGGAAAAGGACCCACATGTACAGAAATATTTATAGCAACTTTTTGTGGTGGCAAAGAACTGGAAATTGAGGGGATGCCCATCAGTTATGGAATGGCTGAACAAGTTGTGGTATATGAATGTAATGGAATACTATTGTTCTGTAAGAAATGATGAGCGCGCAGCTTTCAGAAAAACCTGGAAAGACTTACATGAATTGATGTTGAGTGAAGTGAGCAGAACCAGGAGAACAGTGTACACAGTAATAGCAACATTGTGTGACGATCAGTGATGGTAGACTTAGCTCTTTTCAGGAACACAATGATCTATGACAATTCCAAAAGACTTGTGATGGAAAATGCTGTCCACATCCAGAGAAAGAACTATGGAGACTGAATGCAGATTGAAGTGTACTATTTTCATTTTTTTTTGTTTTTTGTTTTTTTCTTTCTCATGGTTTTCCCCTTTTGCTCTGATTGTTTTTTCACAACATGACTAATATGGAAATATGTTTAATATGATTGTACATGTATAACCTAAAAAAAAAAAGACCAAAGAGCCTTCTTATCTGCTGCTAAGGGAGCACTGACAAACATCTTTTACTGCTTTTGTTGGTTGGACTGAAGACTGTACTTAGAATTAAAAGACTTTGATTCAAATCCTGGCTCTGCCACTTATTAGCTGTGTAATCTTGGATGAGTCACTTATCCCCATTTTTCAGATGAAGTACAATGAGGCAAATCCTTCACAGGGTTGTTGTGAGAATCAAATGATATAATGTATGTAAATCCTAAAGCACTATATAAATGTAAGTTATTATTGTTATTATTAGTTGAATGAAGGGGAACTCTCTAGAGTGTGAGAGCCAGAAACTATATCATTAGTCACAAGAAAGAGATGATTCAACTTCACCAGTGTGTTAGTGACTCTCACTTCCCATTTCTCTGCATCTTCTATTTCCCAGTAGAAATATAGAGAATTTTTGACTAATCAATCAATCACTCCATTGTCAACATTTATTAAGTGCCTGTTATATTCTAGGCACTAGAGATATGAAGACAAAAGTGAAGCTGTTCCTTCCCTCTAAATCTAGCAAGGGAAGACAGCATGAACATATCTAGGTAACTACATGACAGATGCCAGACAATCTTGTGGGGGAAGGCACTAGTAACAGGGGCATCAGGAAAGTCTTCATTTAGAAGATCGCTCTTGAGCTGAACCTCGAAGTGGAGGATTCCAGGAAGCAGAGGGGGAAGCACATTCCAGACATTGGGGACAGCCAGGGCAAAGGCTCAGAGATAGGAAATGGAGGATCATTGCAGGAACAGTAAGGCCAGTTTGGTTAGATCCCAGTGTGTGTGAAGGTGAATAAATGTGTACTAAGACTGGAAGGGTACATGGAAGAATAGGCTTCATACACACACACACACACACACACACACACACAGTTTTTTTGGTTCAGTATAATTTTGGCTCTTTGTTCAGTCTGACTCTAGTAGAGATAGTGTATGCACCATTTTGCGTCTCTAAATTGAGAGCACCAGCTAAAACAGTGTGTTTGAGTATTAAGTTGAGTGGGCCTTTGACCACATAAACCTGCCCAACAATTCTAGTAATCTAGGGACAGTGGTAAATGTGCTTTGACTGCAGAATAGAACTACTCAGCCGTGATGATAGAATTTTCTCATATCACTGTCCTGCAGTAAGAATTTAAGTATAATTTATGAGAGCATCATAACTAATTAAATTTTTATTTGTTTTCTAGGGGGGACAGTTGGTGGCCTACTTGGTGCTTGGATGACTAGTGGACAATTTAAACCAATTCCTCAGATCATAATGGAACTGCCCCCTATTGAGCAACAGAAGCTTTTTAACGAAGCCTTTGCCATTATCAGAGACTTGGACTGGACGGATGCGGTGCAGCTGACTGCACTGGTAATGGGGAATGACGCCCTTCAGCAGAAGCTGGCATCAGTGGTAGTAAATTATGTCACACAGACGCTTCGAGCAGAAGTGCAGTATGGAGACTAGCCCTCTCCAGTGAATGGTTTTTACTGTGTAATGCAGGGATTTTCATTTGGATGATTTTGATGACTTTAGTGTAGAAAAATAGCTAGTAATTGCTGCTACTTATGTTTGAGGTACCGGAACACCCTCACTCTGGGTGAGTTTCTCCAGAAATCCTTGATCCTTGAGTTATAACAAAATTGGGTCAAATTACCTAATTTATATTAAGTTACTGAGGAAGTATTGTAGCATGTTCCCAAAATTATCTGTAAAACAACTTGGTGGTTCCAGATCCTACTCAGAGTGATGCCCATTGACATACTTTTGACTGTAAAGTTGTCAAAAAAAAAATCGACAGGAAGGTTTACGTATTGCAAACATTAATTGTACTTATCTAAATTCATTTTATCTCTCACAAGGCTGTTTAAAAAGATCATCATACTTAATTGCCTTTTGGACTACTTTTCAGTTTCTTCTTTGCAGTCACTTTTTTTTTTTGTAGCACCTGGGTACTAGTTTCCTGTTGGTGCCCCCTCTGCCTTCACGGTTTTTTAACAGAAAGCAGTTGTGAAAATGTGTTTCACTTCTTACTTCTCCCTGTCATTGTACACCTCCCTGACTTTAAGAATCTGAATCACCGTGAAATTCACAGCAAGGGGGAAGAGTAATCTGCTGATTTCAATGCAGTCCCACAGTACTGAAGAAAGAAATATAATAGAGGCTGTTCATGTTTGTGTCTAAGTCCCTTGACCTCTCAGTGCCTCACTTTCCTCATCTATAAAATGAAGGTAATTATTTTTTTTTTAAATTTTAAGTGGTTATTTTCAGAGCAAACTCTTGTTAGTTCTTTTTTCCCCGGGATCATGAGCCACCTCTCACAAATGGTTCCTTTGACTTGCTAATTGATGTGTTGAGCTTCAGCAATGCTCTACTTAAAACATTTAGTAAAGGAGCATTTCTTATAGCAAAGGGAAAATGCAGATTAATCTTTTCTGAATAAACCCTTTTTCTCATTTATTTAATGATGACCATTCTGTAATGCTTTCCAGAACAGTTTACCAGATGAACTGGATACTACCAGAACCTGGAATTAAGGATTATGCTGTAGTAGTATAAATCATCCTTTTATATTGAAAACACACACAACAAAACTCCCTTGAGTTGATGTGAATTTAACTTAGACACAAGTTTTTTGGGAAGTTTAGCCTTCCCCATCTGGGCTGCTGCTAGGTTGTCAGTGTAGTTCCCTCAGCAATCCCCCCACCCCCAGGCCACCAACTTCCAGTAGTAGCCGAGAGGTAACTGAAATTCTTTCATAAATTCCCAGGCCCTTTGGGCAAGAATAGAAAACCAGGGTGATGACTGTGCTCAAGTAGCAACATGCTGAGGAAGCTACCGTAGTTCAGGTTTGTTTCTGCTAAGAACTGCTGTAGTGATAAGAAGATGGTCAATTTGTGGGTGAGTAAAGCTACTTAGAGCCTCAGTCTTCAAATTTAGTTTTGTGGGTTCTTTTTTAATAAAGAAAAGTTCAGGCTGACCCAAAGGCCAGGTTAATTTACGTCCATGATATAGAAAAAAGTCAAATGTGGAAAATATTGAAGATGAAACTATATTGGAATGGAGCCTGTATTTCTCAGTGAAACCTTCCTTCAAAATGAGCTTTCTCTTCCACTTGTTAGAATACCATATCATAGGCTGTGTTCTTGCAGTTTGTATTCTGTTTTTTTTCCCGCATCTGTGCCACTGACATGACATAACCATGATGACGTTTAAATGTGTTTTTTATAATCGTGTTGGACATTGCCTCATTTTTCCTGTTCATTTTCAAACTCCCATGTGCAGTCACTAAAGATTTGTGTTACCTAAAGTCAGAATTTGATCTATATAATGTTTGATCTATATAATGTTTTTTTTTTCTGATATGTAACAAACTTGTATAAAGTTGATTTCTTTTCTATGTAAAGGGAAAACTTACCATCTTGGCTTGATTTTGAAGAAACAATAAAGATCTTTTAGTGTGCATTTGAATCAGGACATTTATTTCATTATAGTTACAAAAATACATCAAATTTTATAATTATAAGTATAATCACTTGCAGAATTTAGGAATTTATTATAATGGTTTTCTATATTTTTTTCAAAACAGAAATGAAGAATAAATGTGATCTTGCAGGGCACAAAAGGGAGAGAAACACACACAGAATTAACAAGTTTGGAAGGGGCCCCTGGGGGCACATAGTCCAGCCTGAAAAGAGTCTCAGTCTGCAATATTTTCAACAAAGGGTCGTCTAGTGCTTGCTTGAAGAACTCCAGTGAGAGGGAACTCATTCCCTCTTAGAGGATCCTGTTGCATTTTGGTATAGCTCTAATTTTTACATCAAATTACATCAAATTTCCCTCTGTAATTCCCACCCATTCCTCCTTGTTCTACCCTTTGTGTCCGAGTACAACAAGTCTAATCTCTTTTCTGTATGATATCTCTTCTGATACAGAAGACATTTATCATATCTGCTCCCCTCCACTCCCCAGTCTTTTCTTCTCCAGGTTAAACAGGCTGAGTTCATTTAGTCAGGCCGTGTAGGGCTTGACCTTGAGGCCCTTCACCATCCTGGTTTTTCTCCTCTTGTTACTCTCCAGCTTATCAATGTCCTTCCTAAAATATGGCAGCCAGAATTGAACACGATACTCCAGATGTTATCTGACCAAGGCAGAATTTAGTGGGATTATCATGTCATTACTGGATGTTAGACCTTTTTTAATGTACCCTAAGATCCCGTTACCTTGCATGACTGCTATGTTACACTGTTGTCTCATATTAATCTTGCATTTCACTAAAACCTCCAGATCTTTTAAAAAACGATTACCTCGCCATGCCTCTGGCGTCTTGCATTTGTGGAATTGATTTTTTCGAAACAAAGTGTAAAACATCGCATTAATGTTTTGTTTCACCTTATTAGATTCAACCTAATTAGGTATTTTCATATTCAGATTGTCATCTTGGTCTGTTAGCCATCTCCTCTAGCTTTAGGTCTTCTGAAAATTTGATGCTTACCATTTATACATTTATAGGAATCACTTATAAAAAATGTTAAGCAGCACAGGGCCAACCAGGACTCCACTGCAGCCTTCTTCCAGCTTCTTAGGATTGATCGTAGGGCCCAAATGGGTCATTGTGTCCAACCTCATACTGTTATCTCAAGCCCAGAGAGGTTAAATGATTTGATTAAGGTCAAAGAAATGGGAAGTGGTAGAGCCATGATCTGAGGTTAGCTCTTTTGGCTGCAAAGCCAGCACACTTAGTACTGCAGTAAACCATCTGCTCTGCTTGACAGAGAAGCAATAATGACTGGTCTTTGGGATCTTGCTATTCAACCAGTTCTGTGTTCATCTAATTGTATTATCATGTACATGGAGGTGTTAAACTCAAGCAGACAGATGAAAATGCAAATGGGAAATGTTTAATAAATAATATTAAATGTTATATAATAGTTATAATACATTTATAGAAAAGTTACGTATTTACAATATGATAAACAATATTGAAATAAAGATATAATACAGCATAGACAATGTTAATTTGTAGTTTTCTAAGTCAGTATGCAGCAGACAGGATTCTATTTGAGTATGAAATCACTGATAACACATCTTTTCCACATGAGTAACATGAAAGACTATCAAATGTTTTGCTAAAATCTTGGCAAAATGTATCTACAACATTCCCCCAGGTGACATAGTGGATAGAGTGTTGGGCCTGGAGTCAGGAAGATGAGTTAAAATCCAACCTGTTAAACTAGCTGTGTGACGCACCAGCAAGTCACAACCTCAGTTTCCTCAACCATGAGATGGGCATCATAGTAACACCTACTTCCCAGGGCTGTTGTGAATATCAGATAAGATAATATTTGTAAAGTACTTATCTAAACTTGAGCAAAGTGAAGTGAACAGAACCAGGAGAACATTGTACACAGTAACAGCACTGTTGTAAGAATGATCAGCTGTGGAAGACTTAGCCACTCTGACCAAAACAATGATCAGATGATTCCATGATGAACAGTGTTATCCACCTCCAGAGAGAGAGCTGATGAACTCTGAATGCAGATAGAAGTATACAATTATTTTGTTTTTCTACTTTTATTTTTTTGGTTTTTGTTTTCATTTGCAATATGGCTAATATGGAAATATGCTTTGCACAACTTCACATGTATAATCAATATCAAATTGCTTGACTTTTCAAGCAGAGGAAGAATGGAAGGGAAGGGAAGAATTTGGAATGCCAGATTTTAAAAAGTGATTATTAAAATTTTACATGTAATTGAGAAATATTTAACAAAATAAAAATATTTATTTGTAAAGTGCTTAGCACGTGGTAGGCACTTAATAAATGCTTGTTACCTTCTCCCTTCTACCCCCATTGTGTGTCAAAAAAGGGAAATTAGCTTAGTCTAGCATGGTCTCTTTTTGATGAAGCTGTATTAAACCCTTCTTTGTGACCCTCCTTTTCTGGCTGCCTATTTGCTGTTCCTGTATTCCTATATTCTAGAATTTGTCCAGAAATGAAATCCAGTTCACTGACAAGAGTTAAAGATGCCATTCTCTTTTCTGGAATATTGGGACCTTTGCTCTTCTCCAGTCCTTGTCCTATTCTGCCCCAGATGTCACTGACGGATTCAAGATTCAAATGCTCCATTCCTTTTAGTCACCTAGGATGTAATTTATTTGGACCAGGTGAGTTGAACTTAGCACCTGAACTTTCTCCTTGTTTCCTCATTGGCCATTTCCCTGCTTTGTATTCCAAAAATGATTTGTCTTTAGTGGGGAAAATAAAATCAAAATAAAAGTTGAACAGCTCTGCATTCTCTCTCCTCCACTCTTAGGAGTATTCTTATCTCTTTTTTGGTCCTCCTCTTTTCCCTAATATATTTGCTAAAATCACACACACACAAACACACACTTTTTGTATGTTTATCATTCCAGTCCTCGCTCATTCCACATTTCAGCACTCCTGACATTATTGTGAACAGAAAAGTCTGCTTTCTGGTTCCCTTTAATGAAAAAAGATACTCGCTTTGAGGTCTTCATGAATCTTGGTTCACTCTATTTCTGATAAAGTAGATCTGGTCCTGAGCACCATTAGCTAGGTAAAGGGAGTTGGTCACCTCAATTAGCAACCACTCTGAAATTTCACATGTTTTGGAAGAGTAGTATTAAAGCTAGGTCTGAGACCCAACAGTTGTTCTCTATCTATCTTTTCTAATTCTGCCATCCTGACTTCAACTTTGGAGAGCCCAGTTCTTGGCTTACCTTTCTCCTTGGTCATGTTCCTGTTATGGAAATTTCCCTTGTTTCATGGGATCGAAACCTAGTAGTACCAAGAAGATTGGCCCAATGATAGAAGAAAGGAGGAAACTCTTTTTTCAAAGTCTACTTTTATGCAAAGATAGGCCTGATGAGACTGCGTCCCTTCTTCAAAACTGACCTGACAATAAGTCCATTCTACTGACTGGTCCTCTAAGTGTTTACTTTATAAAATCTTTCTATTTTCCCAGCTCCAGGCCTGGAGGTTGACCCTCTATTCTCTCCTTGGCCTAGTCAAGGAGACAATCAAAAGAGGTTAGGAGAAGTCCTCTGCAAATTTGATCACCGGAGCAGAAAGGGCACTTTGTAAGACAACGCATTAGCCTCCATCTGTTGCTGTGGTGAGGTTCAGAGCTGCCTTCCCACCCTGGTCTCCCTTGTTGGGATTGGAATCAGTGGCAGGCAAGAGATGGCAACTTCAGAAATCCACTCCAGCTGCATAATGCCTGTACTGAGTGTAAGAGACACTCATCACCTAGGAAACGAGGTAAAGTGTTGCCAGCAGTTTGAGGAAGCAGCTGAAGAAGAAGCCACTGTGGGGAGATCCGCATATTTATAAAAAGAAACCATCTGCTCCAAGGCCGGTTATTAACCTGGTTCGGTTGTAGATGTGACAGAATCGAGCTCAATTTTTCACAGGCAGATGGTGTATTTTTAGCTAAAATTATCTTCTTTATTTTTCTGTTTTTTGAGATGTCTGGCTTTAAAGTAAACATGATAGGAGAGTGTTATAATAGAGAAGACGGGAGGGAAATGATTTGGTTTTTGAAATGATTAAATTCTCTTTCTGATTCGTTATTGAGAGATGCCATCTAGTGGACGAAACTGAATTTTGTTGATTTTTTTTTTTCCTTTTCCTTCCCTGTCTTTCCCTATATACATGTGCCCTCTTCACCATATCATCCCCACTCAACAAAGAGAATCTTGACCTTGCTTACTGCTCAATTCCTACTACTAACTCCAAAGCAACTTGTTTTATGAGTTCACCGTTGTGAGGAGGGAAAGACTTTACTGAGGTTTTAATAGGCAATAAACAGATCGACCATATTTCCTGCAACCTTTTTGCATATAAAACAGAATGTCTCTCAATCCTGAACAATCAACATATGGCCATTAAGAAATGCCAGGATCCGTCTAAACCTCCTAGGGAATGGGGAATGTTTGATGCGTTTTCAGTTTCTTCTGAGGAGATAAATTGCTTTATTAGCCGAAGGAAGTTTCTCTGGCCATTATAATAATGGCAAATGAGGAAGCTGGACTGAATCCTGGCCAGCTTCATCATAGCCTCTGGGCCAGCTAGAGTTGCCCTATCAACCTAAGGAGAAATAGATGCAAATCATTAAGATAAATACCCGGGACTTTGACAATACTTGTTTTTAGTTTTTTCATGGTTTTAAAGTCAAGGATTCCTTCCCTTCCTGCTCTTCTCCCCCCACCCCCAGCCCCTTTTCTTAATGTCCACAGACTGAGTGCTGCATGCAGTGGTATCATAAAACTACTGAACATTAGAACCAGAGAAGGCCTTACAGATAACAAAAGCGGATATTTATGTAGCACTTTCTGGTTTGCAAAGCACTTATATACTCCTCATCTGATCCTTAACCCTATAAGGCAGGTAGTTTGATTTTCTTGATTTTATAGAGTTGGTGGGAGAAGAAAAGTATCTACTATGGGTCAAGCATTGTGTCAAGAACTTTACAAATATTGTCTCAGTTAATCCTCACAACAAGGAAATTAAGACTGAGGTGACACCGGGTCTTCCTGGCCTCAAGGTCAGGACTTTTATCCACTGCCTCTCATCTCTCAGCTAGAGATTACCTGGTCCAGTTGCCTTCATTTTGCAAATATGATGCCATGACCTGGATTCCATTCGGCTCAAGATGCTTGCTAATATTTAATACATTTTTTGCTTTCCCTGAGTAGTAATGCAAAGTCCAGTCTCCCTGATTTATAAGAATTGGCTATATCTGGCCTAAAGGTTATCCAATCTGGATAACCTCATCCAAAAATCAGACGGTAGAAAGGAGGAAGAGAAATGGCATGTCATTGTTCTTCAGTGTTTCAGACAGGATGGACAAGATGAGACACTGATCAAACCATTGTGTTCTTTTCATCTCTGATAGAAAGACTGGTGGGCCTATTAATAATCTGAATATATCTAGTATTTATGGTAGCAATAAATAACATTTGTATAGTGTTTTATGATTATATAATGTTTTGCCAAATATGTCTCAGCAGATATAGCATTGGGCCCAGGGTCAGGAAGACCTGAGTTTAAATACAGTCTTAGATACTAGCTGTATCACCCTGGGCTTAAACTCTATCTGCCTTAATTTCCTCAACAGTAAAATGGAATAATAATAGACCTACCTCCCAGGCTTGTTATGAGCAGCAAATGAGATAATATTTGTAAAATGGTTATCATAGTGCTTGGCACATCGTAGACACTTAATAAATGCTTGTTTCCATTTTTCCTTTCTTTCCTCCTTTTCTCTCTCCTTCCATCCCTCCTTCCTTCCTTCCTTTCTCAATTGCTAGGCTTGGGGAATATTTGAGACTTAGCTCAAAAAAGACAGAGCCATCATGAATACAGATACACTAAATACTGGCCTTTCTATACCACTAAACCCTCAGTTCCTATGGTTATCAATATATAAATAACCCTAATTGCACTGTGCTAGAGATTGGGAGTACAAGGACAAATAAATAAATAGTTCCTGCCCTCAAGGAGCTTACATTCTATCAGGGAAAACAACATGTACATATATAAGTATATACAAGGCACATACAAAAAAGGTAAGGAGTAACCTTGTGACCATATTGTGTAACAGCTGAGGGGAGCAGAAATAATCAATAAACATTTATTAAGTACCTGCTAGGCTCCAGGCATTGACGTAAGTGCTGGAGGTACAGAAAGAAGCAAAAGACAGTCGCTGCCCTTAAGGAGCTCACAGTCTAATTGGGGAGACAGCAGACAAATATATATGAACAAGCAATATGTAGGATAAATTATTCACAGAAATAAGGCACAAAAATTAAGAGGGTTTGGGGGAAGGCTTCCTGTAGAAGGTGGGAAGAATAGGAAGAACACAGAACCAGAGAGCAGGGGACACTGCTTTGAGTTCCCACTACCACAAAGTAGCTGTGTGACACTGGGCAAGTCACTTAAGTCTTGGCCTGCCTCAGTTTCCTCCTCTGTAAAATGAGGAGTTTGGACCAGCTGGCCCCGAAGGTGTCTCACGTCTCTAAATATGTGATTCGTGATCCCCTGGCTTCATGACTTCTGAAGTTCCTTTCAGCTCTAACAAGGTATGAGCGTATGAAGAGTTTTGTCTAGCCATGAATCTGAGTAAAGGCCTCATGTTTGACAACCAAAATCTCCCTGGGGAGTTCAGCTTTTCAAAATCTTAACAGCTCTAATTATTCTTCCCCGTGCTTTTGCAATCTGCAAGGGCCTCCATTTGAATGCAAGCTGCTGAAGGCAAGCATTATTTAGGGTTTTGTATTTGTATTTGTGGTGCCAAGCATGGTGAGCTCCACATAGGGGGAAGGGGAAGAGAACAAGATTCTATTAAGCATCTATTAAGTGTCAGGCACTGTGCTAAGTGCTTTACAAATAATATTGCACTTGAGGTTCTCAACAATCCTGTGAAATAAATGCTATTATGATCCTCATTTTACAGTTGAGGAAACTGAGGCAGGCTGCAATTTAAATGACTTGCCCAGGGTCACACAGCTAGTAAATGTCTCAGGCTGGAATTGAACTGATTCCAGGCCCCGCAGCTCTATGCAATCAGCCACCTGCTTTAAAAGCACTAAATAAATGTTTGAAGGACCTGTTGCCAGTGGAGGTCAGGGGATCTCAGAAATTCCAGGTTTCGCTATCACCAGCTAATGGGGAGATAGGCAAGAACCTCAGAGGTCATCTAGTCCAGGGCTTCTTAAACTTTTCCCACTAGCAACCCCTTCAGTGCCTCTTAAATTGTGGGTCTCCACCCCATAATTTAAGAAGCGCTGAATTTGTTTCTAGTCAAAACACTATATTTTATAGATGAAGGAGCTGAGTCCATAGAGGTTAGTGACCTTTCCTGTATTACGTAGGTGTAAATGGCAGAGCTATGATTAGAACCCAGACCTTCTGACTCTAAAACCAGCATTCTTTCCATTGTAATCAATTGGCATGCATTTATTAAGAATATGCTATGTGCCAGGCATTGTAATAGGGCTTACAAGCACAGAAATCCTGTTCTCAAAAAATGCCTGTCCTCAAGGAGCTTACATTGTGTTGGACCATCCCCTTAGTCCTATGCCATTTGGTGACTGCCCATCTGTGAACTATCTCTTAAGACTAGAGAATAGAGAGATGTATTGTATAGAAGGCCCAAATTATCCCCCAGGGGCGATGTGAGAATAAGTTAGATGATGCTTAGGAGGTAATATATGCCTTCAGGCTAAAAGGTCTCTGACATTAATGCCCCATTTTAAGAGTAGTTATCACAGTCCATCCCCTTTAACATCCTTCCATATAAGTCCCTGGGCTCATTTGACCTGAGCACTTCTTAGAAAAATCGATGCAGCTCTAAGTAGTTTACTTCCTCACCTTTGGAGGAAAGATCAATGTACAGAAATACCTTTGAGTCTAATATTCAAGGACACTTGAAGCAGGCTTTATGCTCTAACAAAGTAAATCATTAGTCTTTGCCTATCTTGGGGAGAACAATGTTGCTGAGAGGGCTGCTTTGTTTCCCCAAATCAGGTTTGCATCTGAATTGTGTTCCTTCGTATGAGTTTTGACTCATGTGATAATCAGCTTATTGTGACAGTTTCTGAGTGAGACATCTCATTGTTTTCTTTATTCAAGGAAAAAATAATCAGTGTCAATTATGCTTTTGAAGGTTCTGTTTTCATATCTTGTAGCTTTACTGTTCTTGTGGTAAGTATCCCTCTCTGTTATGTGGTAGATGTTTCCCTAATTGAGCTCAGAGACTGCTTCTACATGGAGCATCCCCAAAGCTGAGGTGCTACCTTCCCAACCAAAATAGAAATGGGGTGTATTCTCTGACTTTCTTTATTACAGGATCATAGAGTCATAGCTTTACACTTGGAAGGGATTGTGGAGGCCATCTTGTCCACACTCTCACTTTCCATATGAGGTTGTCTCCACAGAGCCACTCCCAGGTATATTTGTGAAGCCGATAGTCCAAATTTTGATCCTCTGTGTCTTCCTTCGCAGACATTTAATGTCCTTATGCCCTTTTCACAGACCTCCTTTTGGCAGCTGAGAACAGCTTGAGAGATATTCATTCACATCGAAATGTCAGTGACTGATATAGTTTAATGTTTTACCTTTTTCTAGATGTATTTACATTTTAACATGGGACAATACTTCAAGCCAAAGCAAGGAATCCCCAGGGGTAGAATTTCAGACATGCAAGAAGATTGGTAGGTTAAGTGTTATTTGGGGGTTGGGAGTAGAAGAAGCTTCTGAGTATGCCTTATTCTCCTAATATAGAATGTATATTATATAATAATAATATGATATTTATATAAATAACATTTTTATATGCTATATAATTATATATTTATATATTATATAAAATATATTAACATAAATAATATTTATATTGTATAAATATTTATATAAATAGATATAATATGTATATATTATATATAAACTATATATTTATATAAATGATATATTATATTTATATTATATATTTATAATAATATAAATAATATATTATATACTCCTTTGAAAGATGAGTTCAGATCTGGACTTTGATACATAGCTAGTGTCGAAATTGGAGGGGGAAGGCCCACTTCAGAGGTCAGCTAGTCCAACAA